ATATATATATATATATATATATATATATATATTTATAAAACACCCTAACTCTTAAATGTGTGTGTGTCTGTGTGTGTGTGTGTGTGTGTGTGTGTGTGTGTGTGTGTGTATATATATATATATATATATATATATATATATATATAATATATGTGTGTGTGGTTTTGAAATTGAAGACGTCTTAAGTCTTTTAAAGGAGTCTACGAGTGCTCTCATGGTATTAATATATTATTACGAGCTGTTATTGTTGCATGTCACACCACAGGAATTGTTTTACGGTTTTAGTTTAGCTTTAAAAAACAATAAAAAAGTTGCTAAAGTGAGCGGCTTCTTGTATTTTGTATGGCAGCTCTGCACAGGAAGTTTGGCCACAGGAGAAATGGTCGTGCTCAACTGAGCCTGGTTTCTCTAAAGTTTTATTTTTTCCTTCTCTTTCGTCAACTGGGGAAGTTTGTTCCTTGTCACTGTCGCCACTAACTTACTTGGTTTAGGACACGTAGAGCAGCACATCGTTGTATTTGCTCTTTACAGCTCTTTGGACTTTCAACAGTAAAAAAATGAAACCACACTAAACTGAACTAATCTACATTGTAAAGGTGTTTTAGACACAAAGATAATTTGAATTTTCTCCAACATTAGTCTTCAAACTTTTTTTTTTATCCTAAAAGTTGTTTTACAATTATTATTATTATTTTTTATTTATTTATTTTTACAATTTTACTGTCTATTTGTTAAATACCCAGTAGTAGTTCCCTTGAGAAATTTAATGTCTGTAAAAGGGAAAGTGGGAACATCTCTGCTGTGTTTTTGTTCTGATGTTGTTGTAAACTAGAGGTGGATTCACCTTCACGAAAAACCACAAATGCAGCATTTCAGCGGTTCATTTTTAGCTGCACGCTCATGAATCTTCCTCTTCTCGCTATCATGTTGCCGACAAGAAACACGCGCTGAGCAAAAATACAGCATCCTATAGATAGACCACAGAAGCATCCTATCACATCCTGCTGGAGCTGCATGTGATGTGGTTTTTCGAAGCATGTGACACACGCCAAGCGCATCTGTAGGGCATCGCTTTTATTGTTACCATTTCACATCCGTGTGCCAAAACATCACGGTGAAAAGCTGTCATGCTTCACCACTGTATATATGATGTGTTTCCTCGCTGGATGTGTTTACAGTTTCCGCATAACAAAATTTTGCCACAAAAGTTTACATCCATCCAAGGTCAAAATAAACGATATATATATATATATATATATATATATATATATATATATATATATATATATATACACACACACACACACACACACACACACACACACACACACACACACACACACACACATACATATATATTCCCATAATGAACATCGCAGCTTTTCTCAACACAGGGTTTCCCACTCTTTCATGAAGACCAAATTCAAGGACGTTTTAAATCACTGGTAATTTTAAATGGAGCACCTTAATTCATGCCCCCAGCATACAACAGGGAAAATCAGTATTGAACATGTCATGTTTTTTTTTTCCTGGGAATATTTTTAAAGAAGCTGTTGACATGGAATTAAACCAGATTTTAGTATAAACCCAGACAATACAAACATAAAAAAAATATTTAAAAAAAACTGAAAAATTAGTTTTGTGAATTAAAATGAAATGAAACAAGGAGAAAGTACTAAACTGAAACAGATTCAATACTTTATATAAAAGGCTTTTTTGGTGACGGCAGCTTAGAGACGCCTTTCAAATGGACAATGAAGTCACATGAATAGCTCAGGTGTGAGTTTTTCCACAGACTTCTTGATGGTTCAGTGGGTTTTGTTTATCAAATCTGATCTTTATTTTGTATTCTCTATTGGATTCAAGTCAGGTGATTGGCTGGGCCATTCTAAAGCTTGATGTTCTCTCTAAAAGCATTTGAGAGTTTTCTTTGGATCATTGTCTTGCTGAAATGTCCACTCTAGTTTGATCTTCATCATCCTGTTAATGTAGATGTTGGACTGAAGCAACTATTATTCATTTACAATGATGAAGGGCAGAGGGTTGCTAAAGAACTACTGACAGTGCGTTCACACCGAAGGCGGTGAGAGCAAAGTTCACACTGATCTGTGTGGCGACAACGCTGTCTGCCTTCACAGCTCCACCAGTGAGAGCATCAAAATTCATTATATTGATATTGTATTTAAAGGGGTCATTGCAGCATATCATCATATACCTTACATTCCCACAAAAAACAAGCTTTCTATAGCAGGAAAATGTTAAGAACTATTTATTAAATTCATTTAACAATGAATATTTATTTGTTGCGTGTGGGGTGGCTTTGCTCCACTAATCCAATATGCGTCCATATGTCTGAAATATTCTAAAGCAGGGCTATTCAATTTGTTTGGCATGGGGGCCGGTTCATGAAAAGCATCCCAAACGAAGGGCGTCCGTATTAGCAAAGAGCTTAGAATGACCAAGAGGCGACACTTAATAGAACATTGCAACAGCAGCGCCCAGCAACAGCCCTGTATTCCGCCATTTTGGATCTCCATTGGATCTCATTATTGTCGCGATGGCAGCTGCTTTGTAATTTATTTATTTAAAAAGCACATTAAAGCTGAGATACAACCTGAAAGACGACAATACAACACTTACTATCACAATCATCAGCACTTTTAATAGTTTACTTAACAGAATTGGAGTTTTCATTCCAAAATAGCCGTCGTGCCCTCTAGTGGCTGTTTCCCAAATTACACCCGTGTCACCTCTTGGTCATTCTAAGCTCTTTGGTATTAGCCTCGGTGTACTTCAAACTTAAAACTAGCGCACAGGCAACTTGGCATTTTGCAGCAGTTTCGTTTCGTTCCCTGCAACAGAAATGCAGCTTAGAGAAGACTTTACGATTAATAAACTGTGACGAATTAAAGCGCAGTTAATATTAAAATCGGCTAATTGTTGCATCCCTATTAACGATATCAGTGCATTGTACAAAAAGCCTTTTCAACAAACATGCTTTCGGCTGCCCGCACCACTCGCTTATGATGACTCGCGCTCTGTGCAGCCTTTAACTGCAGCTCATTTTCACTTGCCACTTCATAACCATAGCAGCTGTTTGTCGACTGAACTAAATTTATTTTTGATGTACTGGTCACACTGTTTGGAGGGCCGGAACAAAGTGCCTCGGGGGCCGCCAATTGAAGAGCCCTGTTCTAAAGCATCAAATTAGTTTTGTGCTGTCGTTTTAGTTAGCAAGGGATTCATGCTTCAAGCAGTGGACTTCTACATTCTGATTGCTTGCCGCCAAACCACAGCTCCCATTGAAAACGAAAGACTTCCGGCTACTTTGATGCTCTCGGTGTGAAAGCTACACCTCCCTTTCTTCATGTGTTCAATACTTTTTCACTGTGTCATTTCATGTTAATACACATAACTGTAATGTAATTAGTTTAGTTTTCTTTGCATGCAGGTGTTTCTTTGGTTGTTATTAACATCTTAGAAGATTTTCAAGTCTACGGCACCTTTAGAAATATTCTGAGAAAAATAGTGACGTGTTTAATACTTATTTTCCCCCACTGTATATACCCCATAAAAGTCCTTCCGGAACTGAACATTTCACTCACACTTTATTTACATTAAAATGTCATTTACATCAAGCTGTCATTTCAAAACTGTTGACCGTTTTAAACAGTCATGCTCAAAGAACTTTATTACATTTAGCGGATTTTTACACTGAATATTCAAATGTGGTTTCTGAAATATTGATAAAATTAAATATTTGTCATTTGACATTCTTATGTAAGATTGAAATTCAAGATTTTTAAATGAAGGATTTCTTCATTTTTTTCATTCCATTTTTGAAACCAGCAAGGTACAATTGCTGAAATAACACCATAAATTTCCAATTTAAGCACTTTCAAGAACATATGTTTGTTTTTATGTACTTTCCAGGCCTTGAATTCATGTATGTTTGAAATCAAGTACTTTCAAGAATCCTGGGTTTTCTGTCTGAAATGATTCATTCAAGCCCTGCCTTTCCGAGAGCCTACTCTTCTGTGATTGGTCTACGGGCTTGTGACAATAACTTTGTTATGACAGAAATAACCATGATGGCATTACATTGTCTACTGGTGATGGGTTGTTTTTAGATGATTTATTCATTTTGAAAAAATCTTTTGTATGACTCGAGAACGATGAGTTTTCTCACATTTGTGCAGGTGGAGTAGAAGATTAGTACCTTTTTTTGAGTCTTCTATCGGGTTTGAGTCGTTTGTTCATCACGTGAAAGATGGAAGCCAATCATATGAATTTAGAGCCGAAAAAAGATGTGATCCGTTCATCTCTCGAGCCCTTGGTCTGAGTCTTTTGTTCATCACGTGAAAGGCAGAAGCCAATCATATGCATTTAGAGCAAGAAAAAGATTTGATCCGTTCATCTCTCGAGTCCTTGGTTTAAGCCGTTCGTTCATCCCATGAAAAACAGAAGCAAATCATATGAAAAAGATTTGATCTGTTCATTTCTCACATCTCTCTTTACATGCCATCACATGATGAACGAATGACTCAAAAACCAGAAGACTCGAAAGGTGAATTTTATTTGGTGTAATTGTAGATGTCATTGGAAGCAACTCGTAACATTTTAATAATATTTTGGCAAATCGAACGAAATGACTCTAAAAAAGATTTGTTCACCTCGCTGCACGAGACTCAAAGGTCTGAGTTAGCAATATAATCCGAACTTCCCATCACTATTGCCTACAAAACAGTGGCTATTTCCCAACACTATTGCCTACAAAACGGTCGCTATTTGTGCAAGAAAGACAAAATGGAATTACTGACGACTCATTTCAGGAAATTCAGAATCAGGATGTTGCTGTTGTTTTTTTTGGGAGACATAAACTCCATTTATCGAGCACTTTGATCTTTGATATTTTGCAAACCTTTTACATTTACAAACAGAGATATTACATACAGGATGAAAGCACAACAGTGGCATTTTAAACGGCACATAAACACACATTCCAAGCTTTTTGGCAGCCTTTTTATTTTTTGTTTAACTTTCTTTTTATCAAACTGTTCTGGTGGAATGATTTCTTTTGTAATGTGGCAGCAAAAAATGTTTAAAAAGAAGAAAAAATAAAGCACTGCGAGTAAAATCAAGTCCTTCACGACGACCAAAAAAAAATAATAATCAGCATATGACTTATAGAACAAATATTCCACAAATCTGTACTTGTGGGCTTTTAGTATAGTTTCTTTGTCTTACTATTTTATTTATTTATTTATACTGAATTAAAGCATTCTGGCTTCCACCCAAGCCACATCTCATTTGAAATGTGTTTATATTCCATGTTTATATTCATCCATTCCGGTTTGGAGGCTCAGACTGACATGTGTGGAAAGATGAGATGCAAAAAAGCAGGAAACGCAAGCGCTTTTAAACAACGTATAAAAAATTATGCAAAAAAACAAACAAAAAAAGGCAAGCTCTGAGGTAAAACAGACTTCTGGCATAAAGGCACTGTGAAATAGAAGAAAGACTTCCTCATGTATTTCACCGGCTACTGGAAATGAAAATAGGATGAGGATATGATCTCTAAGTGCCAATTATTGCTTTTTGGTTTAGGATTTTGCAGAATCAACAGGGCCAAAAAGTCCTGTGAATAATTTTCATTATATTTGTTGTGTTTTTTATACTAATACTGATTATTATCATCATATTTTTAGCAGGAAGTACTTCATCATCAAATCAAAAATCCATAATGGGGGAGAATATGAAGACATATGAGGTCAGAGGAGGCTGAAGATCTTATGAATCAAAAAGAGGTGAGTTGTATAGAGAAGGCCAGCCTCCCCAAAATTAAGAAAACCAAGCAAAGTAAAAGATGTAGAGAGAGAGAAAGAGAGAGCGAGAAGAAAAGAACGCGCTTGCAAACGTAACTTGTGATGTTTGTCAAGTCCACCTCTTTAAGAGTAGATTTGGTCAGATTGAATGAGGATGGTCCCATGGAGGTGTTTGTACTCTTCTTCAGTCTTTTTATCGGTAGAGCTCATTGGTTATGATATCTTGCAGTTTCTCTCGAAGGTCTCTGAAGCTTGGCCGCACCACAGCATCCAGAGTCCAGCACTGCTTCATGATGTCGTACACCACTGGAGGACAGCCGTCGGGGGAGTCCATCTTATAACCCTTCTCTACACGCGGGACCACTTCCTTTAGAGGCTGGAAGAAGAGAAAGAGAGACAATGACTCAGGATAAAACAAAACAAAATGTGCTTAAGGAGACAACGGTGCCCTCTACTGGTAGGAATCTGAAATTATACTGAAGTAAAACATAACATTTGAAAAATTGATGTATTTGTTAATAACTAAAAAATTAATGAGATAAAACTAATGTAACAGAGTTCCCATGCTTTCCTGAACAACAGTTTCAAGGACCTCTGTAATTCATGCCTTAGCATATGTAGTGCCATGAAAGCCCTTAATGTACTTTTAAGTCCCTATGAAATCAAAACTAACCATATGATTTTGTTAGCTCAATTGATTGTTTTGGGATGGACAATTCATCTGTGCATGTCATTATGAGAAAAAAAAATTGTTTGCCCTTCTAATCTTTTATCGAAATCTGAAAATGCACTTGCTGTTTGTTTTATTCTCAGATTACGTATATCTTAGCAACTGGGCGTAGCTAACATATTTAACCACGCTGGTTCAACTCAGATATGAAAACAAACAGAAATGGTGAGGAGGAGGAATCTGTTAGGTTGTAATAACTCTCCCTAAATACTTTTCCACATCTTTCTAAATGAAATGCCTACTTTACTACATCCAATCAGCTCACAGTAGAAAAAAACAAGCCACGCCCACTGTTTTCTCATTTAATATTCAGTTTCTCTAGGAACTGCATCACAATATGGAGAAAAACAAACAAACAAACAAAAACGGTTGCAGCTTCCAGTTCATGTGGGCATTAACAGTTCACTTAATACTTACAAGTCATTTTCAAACACTTTTCAAACATTTTAAAAAGTCATGGTCAAAGAAATTTAATCAGATTTGTTGATTTCAATGCTGGTAATATTCAAATGCGGTTTCAGAAATATTGATCAAATGTGCATTATTTGTCAGTGTTATTGTACAAGGTTTAAATGTAAGATTCTTAGTTAAAGAATTTCTCTTTTTTTTTTTTTTTTTATAGCACAATTTACCATCCATAAACAAATTTCAATTAAAATTTAATCCAAGCACTTTTAAGGACCTGTGTATAAGCAGCTAGCTCTCTGCAACTTTCACATGGTCGCCCACTGAAGCTAAGCAGGACTGAGTACCTGGTCAGTACATGGATGGAAGACCACATGGGAAAACTAGGTTGCTGTTGGTAGTGGTGTTAGTGAGGCCAGCAGGGGGCTCTCAAACTGCGGTCTGTGTGGGTCCTAATGCCCCAGTATATTGATAGGGATTCTATACTGCTTGGTGATCGCCATCTTTTGGATGAGACATTAAACTGAGATCCCCATATCATAATTGGTTTCATCACTCTGTTTCCTCTCTGCCAGGTGGATGCTGCACATTGGTGGTGGATGAGGAGATTCCACCCCGAAAATGTGTAAAGCGTTTGGGTGTCCAGAAAAGTGCTATATAAATGTAAGCAATAATTAATTTTATAAGTATTTTACAGGCCTTGAACCCATACTGTATGTCTGAAACTCAAGAAGGGTCGGAACTCTGAATATAATAAAATTGCCAACACTTGTACCAACTGGTGGACTATTACCTGCCTATTGTTTAAATACTGGCTGTTTATATGTAAAGTACATATTCTGCATGATCTTATTCGACATCAAGAATTCTAGCTATCACCTAAATCCAAATACTCTATCAAACAGCAAATTAGAAGTTTATTGAGGCAAACATCATAGTTATTAGTTTGTTAATAGCAAGAATAATTTATGAGCTAAATATATTATGACTAGGGCTGCACAATATATCGTCTCAGCATTGATACTGCAATGTGCACATCCGCAATAGTCACATTGCAGGATATGCAACGTAAAGTTATGATTATAGCTGACCAGGAGAAACAGTTTAGAACACATGAGCATTGTGAAGTTATTGCAGAGTTTAACCATAATGGAGTGAAATTTTAGAATTTGCACATTTTTAAGTGCTGAAAGATTTCAAAGTATTCAGGCACATATAGTTTTCTTTAATAAATAATACTTTTTAAATTTTTTATACAGTAAAGACTTGCAGTGTTATTTTACATTTGATTATTCAAATTCTGTTCTTGGATACGATGCAAATGCCCTGAAAACCATAAAACACTTATCACACTTCTGCCTTTGCTCTTTTGTATTCATCAATGCTTGTATTTCACATTTTATTACATTTTTATGCGTAAAAAACTTCCCTACAAAATATTCCCAATTAAATTGAATAAATTCTTTCCAAATAGCAATTTTCAAGTCCTCTGGTGAAATTGTAGATACAGTATATCACAATATTTTTTGCACAAAAAGTGAATATCGCAATGTCTGATTTTTCAATATCGTAAAGCCCTAAAAATGACACATTTAATAATCTTTTGTTTAAAGACTGAAAAATTAATTTAAAAAAACGTATTATTATACAAACTATTTTATTTATTTTATGATTTTTAATAAAAGTATAATAATAATAATAACTATAAATTAACTATTAATTAATACATCCTATTTAGAGATTAGTAAAACTATTCAATCACCAGTATCAGCTACAAGTGAACATTCAGGAAAATGTGTTTCGGATTTGAAGGGACTTACAATTCTTGGATATGGTACCCGACCAAAAGAATAGATCTCCCACAGTAAGATCCCATAACTCCATACATCCGACTTAGTGGAAAATTTCTGTTTCAGAAAGACGTGCAGATTAATAAAAGGATATTTTCAACTAGATTCCACCATTAAAACAAACCATTTACAAAGCACACCTTCTCTCGTAAGGCCTCAGGTGAAGTCCACTTAACAGGGAGTTTGGCTGTATCTTGAGTAGACGAGGCTTCCTTGGTGAGGCCGAAATCACTGACTTTAGCTATGTTGTCCTCTGACACAAGAACATTACGAGCGGCAAGGTCCCGGTGCACAAAGTTATTGGCCTCAAGATATTCCATTGCCTTGCACACATCCCTAGGAGAAAATGTAAATAGATAGATAGATAGATAGATAGATAGATAGATAGATAGATAGATAGATAGATAGATAGATAGATAGATAGATAGATAGATAGATAGATAGATAGATAGATAAAGTAAAAAAGAAATAAATTAATAAATTAATTAATTAATAAAAAATATGGTTATTATAGAATATAGTTTTTATAATAACTTTTATAATTTTATAAAAAAAATATATTATATTTTATTATGCTTCAAAGTCTGAAGTTATGCTATTTTGTCATGGCTTAAAAATAATAATAAAGAAACTCACATTGAGAAATTGATCAAACGATCTCCACCGATAACAGTACGACCTCTGGAGCGCAGATAGTCCACAAGACTACCCTGAAAAAGGCATACCAACAACACTTAAGTACACTCTACACTTTTTATATGGCTATTAAACATGCCTCTGGCTATTCTCGATGGTAACAGATGGAAGTCGCTGACCTTGGCCATGTACTCAGTGACGATGTAAAGGCTGCCCTTTTCTTCCACGATCACCCCCAGCAGCTGCACCAGGTTATTATGCCGTAATTGACTGTAAAAGTGCAGCGCATGAATATGAATATTTTGCAATGACTCTAAATATAACTAGGATTCTAATTGGTCAGTTAGATGAACGCACGTCATGACTGAAGCCTCTGCAACGAAGGCCTGTGCTGTGGCATCATGTTTGATACACTTCACCGCTACTTTCTTTCCTCTGTAGTCTCCAACCATCACATCTAAGAACAAATAAACAAAGAGAATAATTAAGTCTGAATGAATTAATGACTCCTTGTGTAGTTCATATTATTATTATAATATTCTGTATGCATTGAATTTTTTTTAAGATAATTGGATCCTGGGCCAAATTTAAGGCCAATCATTCCAGTAGTGGTCACTTGGCATGCTTTGTAGAGCATTTTTTCTATCACATTATAGAAAACATCATTAATTAGGTCAAATCTGAAAATCTTATTGTAACATTTCTAATTTTTGTACATTTGGTGATATAGTCTTTAAAACATTTATTTTATTAGCAATCTAAACATTTGGTTAGCCATTTAAAATTATATTTAAAAAAAAAAAAACTGATGAATATTTTGCTGATAGCCTGTAAAAAAGCCAAAACCAAAAATGGTTGCAACTCTAAATGCCTCAAATTAGTGACTGGTTTGACATAATTTATGAAAACTACAATATGGAGAGGTAATGAATCATTGTTTACAGACTGAGGAGTTTAATGAGACATGGAGAAAATCAGTAGAATGTATTCACCCATTAAGACCAGACTTAACATAGGATGTATAATCAGAAAGATGTGCATTTTTATTATGTTTATTTTGTGTATAATTTTCTTGTAATGAGAGAAAACAAAAGAAAGATAGTGAGAAGAACAATACCTAATGAAAAAATAAAAATAAATAAAAATGTACATTTAATATGCTAAAAATACCATCCTCACAGTTTCATACGTATATAGCTTAGGGGGAAGAGGGGTAGACTGGGTGCCTCAATGTGTGTTAAGAAAAGTACACAATTGAATTGCAATTGAAAAGCAACAAAACTTAAACTGTTTTCTTTTTGACGACATACAAAACAATTATGAGAGTATTGTTTTGATTGTCCTCATGATGTCCTTGAATTATTAATGTACAGGACATTCTGTAACTATTAATGTACAGTACATTCCGTAATTATTAAAAATGTTTATGGTATTTTATAATTTCTTTCAACTTCTGGATTCCGATGATTGATTGTTTTGTGTATATAATGTGGAAACTCCTATTTACCACAGGTGTCAATTCCAGTTTCTGGAGGGCCGGAGCTCTGCACAGTTTAGTTTCAACCCTAACTGAACACACCTGATCAAACTAATTAAGTTCCTTAGGCTTGTTTGAGACCTACAGGTAAGTGTGTTAAAGCAGGGTTGGAACTAAACTGTGTAGAGCTACAGCCCTCCAGGAACTGGAATTGACACCTGTGCGTATATACCATACATATGTATGTAAATTTGGAAACTGCAATAAAAAAATACAAAATGAAAACAAAAAACAAAAGAACGCTTATATTAATATGCAAAATATACACAATATTTTCTTTAGAATATAAGTGATAAAAAGTGACATTCATTTGACAATAATGCATCAAATGTGAGAGATAGCAACATTAGGGTTAGTGATATGATTCATTTTTGGTTAGCAATAGTATATATGGTATGTAAAATAAAAATATTTAGTACAGTGCATTTCTTATGTTAAAAATTGTATACAGTGCTCAGCATATATAAGTACAGCCCTAACAGATCTCTCTTCTAAATGGATTTTTTCTACAGGATGCTTTACAATAATATATTTGTGCATATACATTAGATTAGTTAGTTCCAAAGTCAAAACTACAGCTAATTTAACAAAATAACTTGAGATCATGGTCCAAAAATGTGTACACCCAAATTAAAAAGTTGGAGGGAAATATTAAATACAACTTTAATAAACAGGGGGGAAAAACTCAAGAGAAACATAAAAAAATATATAATTTAGTTGCAATTTTGTAGTTTGCAAATTTATTTTTGCAATTACTCGCATGAATTTAAATGTACTGTATTATTATCATCTTGCAATTGTTAAAGACTTTTATTAAAGATTAATGTTTGGTGACCAAACTATTATTTTAATGGATAAAACTGTTTAACAAAAATGTTATGTTTAAATGAACCAAAGATTATTGGATACATTCACTGAGAAATTAATAAATAAAAATTAATTTTCAAAAGGTGGTATACCGATTTATGCACAACAGTATATGTATATAGTAAAAAAAAAATAATAATAATTTTCTCAAAGCAAACACACGTACCTCCAAACTCTCCCTTTCCAATAGTCTGGATAAGCTTCAGTTCTTTTCTATTCAAAGCCCAGCCACCTGCGGGGAAAGAAAATTGGGTACTAATTTAGCCATGCAGGAATTAAATCCTCTGTTGCTCTTCAGTATTAATAATGTAACTTAATAATAAACAAGATTGAAAATCAGATCAGTAAAACTATTTAAAGAATATACAGGTTTACATTTTTTATATTCAGCATTAACTACAACATAAACCCAAAAAATAGATAATATTTTGAATTTATAGAGAAATAAATGGCACAATTTAGAGGTGGATATTCTTTAGTAGCATGAAACTTTTTTTAAATAAACTATATTTAATTTTTAAAATGTTAAATGGAATGTTCAGATAAAAATTCCCGTCATTTACTCGCACTCAAGTGGTTCCAAATTTTTATGAGGTCTTGCTTCTGAGAACACAAAGCTAAATATTCTGAAGAATGTTGGGATGTTATAAAGCATGTCATTGAAATCCATAGTAGAAACCAAAATATACTATTGAATATAATATATAGGGGTGTAACATGAAGGGGCGTAAATTGTAGAACCTCAGAGGCATAACTTGAAATTTTAGAGAGCCATATTTCAAAACTAACTAACCCAACCATCATAGTTAATAATGTCTACACCTTACTCAACCCTTAACCTAACTATTAAAGTTATTAACATCTACACCTTCCCCAACCCTAAAGCCAACCATCACAGTCTTACAGCGGTAAGTAGGGAAGGTTTTTTATACTTTACAAGCTCCCCATTGTACAGTTATTTGCAACCATAGGTGGCAAACTGTCATGATATTACAGAGGAAGAAGGCAGCGAGTTGCGTGGTGGAGTTCCCCAACGTTTTTCAGTACATCACCATTTAAAACGCAGGTTTGAAACAAGTCGAATAAATTATGACAGATTTTTCACTTTGGATGAACTATCCCTCTAAGAAGTCAAGTTTCTTTGATGATAACCAGTACAATTACCTTTCTGGAACAAGGAGCACCAGAAGGTTAAACCTGTACAAACATGTAAACAAATGTGTGAATACACTCAAGGGAGGTCTTACTTCTGGAGAACTCATCCTGGGCTGCCACAGTCCCCTCCATGATTTTAGGTTTGATGAGTCGCGTACAGAGTCCATCTGCATCTTTAGTGTAGTGCTGTTGAAAAACAAACACACACAAGCCGACCAAAAGTAAGCTCATTTACCAAAAAAAAAAAAAAAAACTAGCATGACAGTAATGGAAATTAAAAGAAAACCATCAAATGTTTATGAAAGGGTATTAACATGCTAGAATAAACTTAAACAAATGACCAATTTACTGAATAATGCAACTCGATATGCAAATAAATGCAGGTTTTATGTAACTAGAGAAGGAAAACACACCTTGAATGTGCAGTTTGAATGAATAAAATGAATAAATAAGATAGTCTCCAGCAGAGGTCGCTGTTGTTTACATATAAACCACCGAATCCTGCGTTTCGCCTCCTCACAATAGACAAGTCCACACAGGCGAGGACATTCTTATCATTTCAGTGATGAAAAACGTGTTTTTGATTTCATGTCTGGACGCTAGAAGCGTGAGGTCAGACGATGTGATAATATTGTAGGACGATTGTAATGCATCGATTATGCTGTTGAAATGATCTGGAACCTGTGCCCGTTTCCTCTTTGTCACTTCCTCGTTATCAACTGTTCCAGGAACTGGAGTGCGTGTGTCTGTGTGCGAGTGCGCCGATATTACATGCGCGCTCAAAATAACAACACATTTGCATGAGTACAGTCACACAAACACTTCAGTAATTCTGCAACGCACTGATACTTTCAAATACAAAAGGTTCTCACTGTAACACCATCTTTTTCAGCCATTTACTTTCATACATGAGAAATAGCACAGATTTGATGTTAATAATTTTGTTATGTGATTCATTCCTGAGATGGTAAAGCTGAAATTATTCCATTTCATCACATAATCTTTCATTTATAAAGATATGCTGATCTAATGCTTAAGAAGCATTTCTTATTAGTAATATCACATTCAACTAAAATAAAAATTACCCTAAAAGCAAAATAAAACTAATGTCATAACATGCTATTATATGAAATTGACAGCTAAAATATAAAAACAAATCTATTGTATACAGGGTCCACTGGTCTGATCGGGCCAGTGGTTCAGATTTCTACTTGCCCTGCCAAAATTTTCACTTGCCCCACCAACAAAAGAAAGGGAAGTTAATAACTATTTTTTTAGATACATATTTTAAATAATGTGTCAAAAATAAAGTCTGTGAATCTAGAATTTTAAGACTTTAAAAAAATTGTAAATAAAAGTGTTTTGCAAACAGAAAAGAAAAGTATGGAAAATGTGGAGGTATTTTATTGCGGTTTGAAATTATTTAACAAAGGGTGGCTGACTTGTCAAACTGACGGCAAAAAACAAACAAACAAACAAAAAAACATCTGTAATATACAGTGCTCTGCTTAATTGAGTAAATCCCATTTTTTTAAAAATTAATATTTTTATCTATTTCTCAGTGAATATAGGCAATGTGTGTTTGTGATTCAGATTTATTAAACAGATATATTTATTAAAATAATAATAAATTATTTTTGATTTGAGGGCGAATTGCCCTCAAATCAAAATCTCGATTAAATGAACATTTCAACTTGATTACGATTAATAAACGATTATTTTATTTTTTTGACCTCACGATTCACTAACAGGTTTTGTACAGTAAATATGCTCACATATCACAAGTGAGAGATTTTTACAATACAATTTTTACTTAATTTAAAAATAATTGAAGGAAACACACACTATCTACGATTATTTATTAAACATCTTTGAACAACTAAAATGAAAACACACATTGCCTGAAATCGACAGTCCCTTTATTCTTAAAAAAATGGGAAAACAAATAACTTTTGAAAACAAAACTAATTATGTTCAACGTTTTCAAAAGTAGAAAATATAATTTTCAATGTAAATAATTTTATTGTAATAGAAAATATGCCATCTCAAAGCATATCTGGCACAGCTTCCATTCATCGTCAATGTAATGCAAATGTGCAATGTGTAGTTTTTTTTTCGCGACCACGCAAAGGCTGCGCCGGAACATAACCATGCGTTTGATGCAGGTGTATAAAACAGCTTTAACAGAGCGGCTCATGTGACTTCACACATGGAAGGGAATGTAATTGAAAAAAATTGACCTGCAAAAATTAGATTGATTACAGGTTCTGAATGTCGATTTTGATTAATCATCCTGAATAAAATACTTTTATAACATCATATACATCTTTACAGTCACTACCAATAATTTTAGTTCATTCTTGCAGAGTAAAAGTATTTCTTTTATCATTTATTTTAGAAAAAAAAAATAATAAATGTGCAATGATAAACACTAATCAAATGACAGCTGAAAATATCAATTTGGGGATTTTATTTAATTTATCTCGAGCAGTTTTCCAATGAATTTTATCAAGCGGAATGTGGGAAGAATATCTTCTGTGGCAATGTAATCACTCTGAACATAAAGACTTATTGTAGCCCTGTCCACTTCTCAGGAAAGAGCACAACTGTTCAGTTGAGTATATAAGGGTGGGAGAAAGAGAGAGCGACTGTAGCCAAAATTACACTGAAGAATGTGTGGAATTCCGTAATAGAAAGGGTGAGGAGAGACTTGAGGAACCCATAGTGCCTCTAAAGTGACCACTAAAACTGTCCAGACCCCAATCTAGGAGAACTAGAGCACATCCGTTATCAACACTTAACCGAGAACGCATCACTGGTTAATCACACTGAGCGGCCCTTATAAAGCCAATAGACAGCTGAATAAAAATAAAAAGATATGTAAAACTATACAAAGTACAGCCATTTACATCTCGCATCTATGTAAATCAGCCCATTTTAAGCCTGCCTTTTGATTAGCGGTGCTCACTGTGCTTTGTGTTACAGCCTTGAATGTTTGTGAAGTGCTATAAGTATCACTTTTTTAAGGCTTTTTAAGGTGATCATGTAATAGCCATAATAGATTCCTTTAATTTAAATGAAAAGAAGGACTCAAGCCACTTTCCAACACTCTGATCTTAACAGCAGCTTTGTAAACAAGAATAAACAGCTTCTACTTTTGCTGAGAGGGTGTGTTATTTAAAGACAAGCATGCATCATTTAAATGTATTTTAAGAAAAGGGAAATCTCAATATTATGAAATACAGCGGTGTTTTATAAAGCAGAACTTTATGGTGTAAAGAAACTCAAATATGCTGATCTCCTTGTAAAGGTCCTGTTCCTAAAATATAAATATAGGGTGCTTTCACACCTGCCTTATTTAGTTGGATTGAATCGCACTAGAGTTTGTTTCCTCTTTTGGTACAGTTTGTTTGGGCAGGTGAGAATGCAGCAATTGTACTCGAGTGCGCACCAAAAGCGGACCAAATAAGCGTACCGAGACCTGCTTGAAGAGGTGGTCTCGGTAACGGACCCTGGAGCGGTTCGTTTGTGGTGAGAATATGATCCGTACTAAAACAGGTCCAACCGCAAAAAGTACTGCACGTTTTGGACTAATTCAGCTGCTGTAGGCCGATGCGCTGTGCATTATGGGTTATGGAGGAAAAATATTTGTTGACAGCGCTTTACCAACAGAGAGAGGGGAAAACATTACCTAATGGATCGTTGGTAATATTTCCGCAAGATGAGCATGTCGCAGTTTAGCTAAATTAATTCACGGCTCCTCCTGAAGTGACGAGTGATGCATTAAACATTGTTTTCCAGCCACGGCCGCGCTTCATTTTCGTAATGTAGTTTGTCTAAAGCAGAGATACAATCTGCCAGCGCAGTCGTCCCTCCAGAGTAAAAGGTTTTGTTTACCTGCGGGAGTTCACTGGCATTTTCCCGCATGTGAATTCTGACCAATCAATAAGCAGTTTAGGAAGTATGTTTAACAACATCTGGCCAATAAGAGATGTGGATTTTGTCAGGTGACTGCATTGTCGTTCGTTTCAACTGGTTCGGACCAAAGCCAGCAGTGTGGTGTGAAAACGACCCAAAGACGGCAGAAAATGCAACAATGTATCATTTATTGCCCTTGGTCCGGACCAAATGAAGCGAACTACAGATGTGAAAGCACCCATAGCTATATATACCTTTTCAGTTACAAAAACCCAGTGTTACTATGAAAAAAGCTAAACAAAAATGAACAAATAATTGCCAAAAATTTTCTAAAAAATGAAGGCATGCTCCAATTGATTGGACTGAGATTGAATTAACCGATATTCGCATTTTATGAATTGATCAGTATTTTATCACTTCAATCTCACAAAAGTATTGCAGATTGTTTACAAGTTTAAAAGCAGAGAAATACGCACAAGAATTACAGTGGTGTGAAAAAGCATTTGTTTTTTTAACTGACTTTTTTTTTTGCAGGTTTGTCACACTTTATAATTTCAGATCATCTTGAATTAAAATTAGTCAAAGATTATACGTAAACACATCATGCAGTTTTGAAATACATTTTTTATTATTAAGGGAAAACTAAATCCCAAACTAAATAACCCTTTGTGAAAGTGTTTGCTGAAGGACAATGATCCAAAGCCCACAAGTAAGTCCAAAACAAAATGAAGACTTTGGAGTGGCCTAGTCAAAGTCCTGACCTGAAACAATTTTGAGCTTTTGTTAGCTCATTCCATCTTCTGGGTTGACCCTATGTTGATGACTGGGTGAGATCTCGTCCACGGACCCACAGCACGCAGTATTTAGCCGTTTATGAAGGGTTGTAAGGGTTTGTTTCCATGATCCACGGGGTTAGTTGCATTTTTTCCCCACAATCCTGTCAGGGCCGATACAGCAAAGCTGTTTGTGTGCAGCAAGCATTTTTTTGGGGAGAGCTGTACAAGAATTGGGGAATGGCAGACTGGGTCCTTTACCAGTGGAGTTTGTTCACATTTAGACACATTGCCGTGCAGCTGTGTTTGCCTAAATCCTACAGATTACCATAAGGGCTAATGGTTGAAACCGAAAGTGGGGTGTGTCATGGCCCTTTAAAAACACTTGATTTTAGTTATTATTTACTAAACCTTTTTCCACAAATGCCTATTTTACATTTAATTTTCCCTTAGTAATAAAAACCTTTATTTCAAAACTGAATGTGTTTACTTGTGTT